AAATAATTTTTCGTGTATGTTTTCCAAAAAATATATTTGAATTTATAAAGGCAGTCAAAATTAATGAAAAAGGCATACTACTTAAATAGTCACTTTTTATAGTACAGGCTTTGTCTTGGCAGTCAGAAAGGAGCTTCTTAAAAAGCCGGCATCCTGAAGTGTCTAAAATATGTTGAGATTAGGTTGTATGATCATCTCTATTACAACCATCCACAATGAATATCTCCCAATCGAATACTCATTTCAGAATTCCGGCTGCCATTGCATGAGGTAGTGAATCTACTGTATCTCGAGGAAGAAGTGAAAGTGAATGATCGTTTCACCGTCACAGGGTTGATAAAAAGAGTGTTTTATGTTGTTGTACAGAACGTCCACTTTGTCTCCACGGATCGATGTAAAGCGGAAACCGTTACTGTGGGCCTCCAAAGTGCCTGATAAAAATAAAAAACAACTTGAAGCGGAGGTGTCCTTACAAAAAGAAGTCCATAATTCACTGTGGAAAAAGTGCCGCTCACCCGTAATTCGTTTCGTTTAAATGTTCGGTCGAATGTAGAGATCGCGAAGGCGTAAGGGACTCTTGGCAGGATCAACTATAAGGACGTCCTGCTCGACCAGATTCGCCCTCTCGCGCTCCTCAGCTTCACGAGAACGACACATTTTCAGAATCGCCTTTATCATGTGGTAGGCATTGTTCAAGTTAGTGGACGGAGAAGCAACGTCACCATGGTGACGCTGCTTGGAGGCACGGTAGGTCATCTCTTTCAGAAAGTTAGACTGCGGGTTGTGATACCAGAAAAAAAGCATGGATTTTAGACAAAAGTATCATACATGAATTGGGAAAACTGAAATGTGAAGAAGAAGACTACTCGATCATTGGAACAATACTTTTATTCGCCTGACGTTTTGACATCCGTCGTGGATTCATCATCAAGGACATGAATAAGAAACAGTAGCAGAAACGGGTAATACATGCACAGAAGTTTGCCGTATTTATAGGATACATTCATTACTATAAACATACAGGGACAATTAGCGTTCCAGCAATCGAGTCTTCTTCTTCTCAGTTGCTTCCTGAA